AACTGTATGCAATTTGAAACATGTGGGTCAAACGGTTCTTGAGTTATCGTTGACCGTAAGCAGACACTGAAATGCATAGTGAAATTGCCAAAACCTACCTAATTTGCATAATTTAAAAAAAAAAATCAAAACCTGTGTGATATGTTTTGGAGCCAGTCGTTATTCATTCACATACCAAAAATGAGCAAAATCCGTTGAACCTGAACTGGCTTATGGCCATTCAAATTTTTGCCAAAAAGTGGGTGTGGTTCAAAAGTAGGTCGACTGGCGTGCTCCAAAATAGGACGTTCAAACTTCTCCCATAGGAGTAACAACTGTATGCAATTTGAAACATGTGGGTCAAACGGTTCTTGAGTTATCGTTGACCGTAAGCAGACACTGAAATGCATAGTGAAATTGCCAAAACCTACCTAATTTGCATAATTTAAAAAAAAAAATCAAAACCTGTGTGATATGTTTTGGAGCCAGTCGTTATTCATTCACATACCAAAAATGAGCAAAATCCGTTGAACCTGAACTGGCTTATGGCCATTTAAATTTTTGCCAAAAAGTGGGTGTGGTTCAAAAGTAGGTCGACTGGCGTGCTCCAAAATAGGACGTTGAAATATCTCCCATAGGAGTAACAACTGTATGAAATTTGAAACATGTGGGTCAAACGGTTCTTGAGTTATCGTTGACCGTAGCCAAATGTTGACGGACGGACGTACGTCAGGGGCGGATCCAGGATTTTTGAAAAGGGGGTGTCCAGGAAGAAATAAATGGCACTTAAGGCCACTTAGGGGGGTTTGGGGTACCTCCCCCAATATTTTTTTTTTAAATTGGTGCATTCTGAGAGCATCTGAGCAGTAATTTTGATGTCTAGAATGCAAAAATTTATCAGATCCGGTCCCCCGGACGCCTGCGGACCCCTCTTTGCCCATTTCTAGGTTTTTATAATGAATTTACATATATATAAGTAAATCTTTATCAGAAAAACTAGCGCTAAACAAGACTTTTTTATGGAGACAATATAAGCGAAGTGTGCGTGTGTGTGTGCGCGCGCGTGCGTGCGTGTATGCTTTTTTTCCTTTTTTTGTGGTAAAAAGGGGAGGTCCGGACCCCCTCGACCCCCCTCTGGATCCGCCCCTGTACGTACGACGGACGACGCCCCATGGCAATAGCTCATCTTAACGATGTCAAGGTGAGCTAAAAAGGAAGATTCCATCATTCTACTGCTCACAATGGATTTTTAAAGGTGACCTACTTTTTCGTTTACCATTCACATGCAATGCAAAACAACCAAACAAACTGCGGCAAGATGATGCGAAAGGGGGGAACTAATTTGATAACTGCTCACTTTATCACTGCCCATGATTTCGGCCAATTCGGGAGAGAGATCACAGGCCACGCTGTAGGTCGAAGTTCCCTTTCGAGGCTTCTTTGCCGCCGTCGCGTCCTTTTTCGTCGGCTTGGCAGCGCGTCTTTTCGGCCGCTTCTCGGCATCCTGCAGCTTCTGCGCAAGCTTCGCATCATCGTCATCCGATGAGCTGTCTGAAGCGTTTGACTTTGACCTCTTCTTCGCCGCTGCAGCCAACTTCTTCGGAGGCGGCTGAATTTTTCAATAGACATTAAAAAACAATTAAAGCAACGACCTCTTTAATTTTGTTGGAAATTTGCCAGGAGACATGACAAGGGTCAAAACTAACTCCACTTATTATGTAGCATATCACCTGTACCAGTATGAAATTGACATGCACTTGAAATTTCATCGATAAAACACGTAATAAACTGGTGGTGTTGGCATCGTTAAATGTTTACAGGTCATGACTTGCCATTTCAAAAATGATGCCTAAATCGAATTTTGTGTGCTGTAAACAATACAGTGAATAACCAGCACTGTTAAAATAAGACATTGGTGATTCTCATTTGAAGGAAGGTAGAAAGTAGCCCATGAAAAAACACAGCTGGTCATCTATATTATTATTAGATACTTATATAATATTGACAAGGATTTTTGCATTTAGCACGTGTCCCCACTGACCGCTTACTGCCTGCAAGGCTGGGATATTTGTGTGAGATTAGTGTGAAACAGCTGCTGCATCCTGCATGAGGAACACCGGGAAGCTTAAAGACGATTAGCGTTACAGCCTACACGGTTGAAAATAGGATTCTAGGACAACTACCCCCTGGACAACTACTCACCGGACAACTACCCACCGGACAACTACCCACATGGACAATTACCCACCCGGACAATTACCCACCCGGACAATTACCCACCAGGACAATTACCCACCAGGACAACTACCCACCGGACAACTACCCACATGGACAATTACCCACCCGGACAATTACCACATTACCACCTAACCTTCCAATAAGGCGAAAAATTCCCCTTCCGTAATTTTTGTCCGCTGCAATACATAATGTATGTCTGGAGAAGAGAGAAATGCCTACTTCTTCCTCGTCTCGGCGGGCGCACATCACACCTACCCCATTGTGTTCAGAGAACAGCGGCGTCGATAATTGGGAGGGGGGGGGAGTCGCCCCTACCCCTCCCATAATGACGGAAATGTTGTATCCCCAAATGATCTTGCTCTTGGCCATGTACGTTATGTTATGTAACTGTTTGTGCGTGTGTGCGTATATGTGGCTGGCTGTGTGCGTGCGTGTGTGTGTACGTGAGTGAATATACTGATTTACAAGAATTTATTACAAGTGTTAATACTTGTGTGAAGTGGGGGGGAGGGCATGTCCCCGAAAATCTTTTTTATTTTGATGCAAAATGGTGCAACTTGGCGCATTAATTCTAAGCTCATCTATCTGCACCTAACTCATATTTTAGTAGGATTGATGATATTTATCAGCAATTTGACCACATGGCAAATATATACATCACTAGTTTACTGCAAAAAATATACGTACTAAATTGTCAATTTTCACAGCGTGATATATAAAATTGCTTTTAAATGTCATGTAATCTGCCACTGTGGAAGTACTGTATATTTGCATAAAATTATGTACATCCCTTCTTCACTTGTGAATAGTTATAACAATAATTTAGACAGTGCTGCCAAAAATGAAACAATGGTCATTCTGAAGGCTTTGTAATGAATAGAATTGTGAATAAAGTTTCAAAATCATAACTGAATTGTCTAATATGAGGTTTTAAATCATTGTTTTCACATTGCATCTCTGAATGTATACAAGATTTTTAGTTTTCATGTGATACAGGTAGTGATAATGTACATTATGAAAACACGTAATTTTTCCATTATATCACAATATATACATCTAATGATGTATTCAATAAATTCCGAATTTTAACAACCGCTCGAGGGGAGCAGACTGCAATTTCAGGCAATCGATAAATCGAACGCCTATGGTAGGATACACGAGTGTGAGGATGCACAGATGGACCCAGCATGCGAGCGATTAGGCGCGGGGAGCGACGCTCGCGCGAGTATCGCCAGCACTGTCACGTAGGCAAAGTATTACTATGTACGAAAAAGTAAAAGTGGGTGTCGCGTCGCTGCTGTTTCTTGATTTACCCGAGTTTGCATTACGCGAATTTGCAATAGCGTGTATCATCTTAACAACAATAAATTTACTTAAAGAATAACAAGAACAACACTACAAGAATAACGCGACACGGCGACTGCCAGGCGCGTGGCGAGCACGTAAAATAAATGTGATGTTATTCATTGAATCAAGCGACCCAGAAAATGTCTAGACATGTACGTGTGCATTGGTGGCTCCGCTTCGCTCCCGCTGCTTATGCGCAGATGAAGGCTGATACTTGCCGATATGAACTTCAATATCGAGTATCGGAAAATGTCGCAAATAAGTCAAAATATCGGCAGTATCAGCGAATGTTGAAGTTGAAATTATGAAATAATGAAGTTGGTCCATTATATGAATCATCATTACTGTACGGTGTGTGTGCGGGGGGGGGGGCTAGGGTAATTGTCTGGGGGGTGGGGGTAATTGTCCTGGTGGGTAATTGCCCTGGTGGGTAATCGTCCGGGTGGGTAATCGTCCTGGTGGGTAATCGTCCAGGTGGGTAATCGTCCTGGTGGGTAATCGTCCGGGTGGGTAATTGTCCTGGTGGGTAATTGTCCGGGGGGGGGGGTAATTGTCCGGTAGGGTAATGAAGGCTGTTACCGAGAATTTATGCAATAGGTGGCAGCACCACGTAAGCCGGTCCTGCCTCGGGTATTCTAACAATACATTATACAATACACGGCAACCTGTTGATGAATGATGTCAACATTCTATTGAAATTTGAGAGCAAATAATGCCTGAAACTCTTTGTTGTGTGCCCCAATGCAACAAAAGGGGTGGGCATTCATATCCTTCTGACAAAGATCTCCGGAAGAAGTGGATAATATCTATACGTCGAGATAAATGGATCCCGGGAAAATCGAGTGTTGTATGCAGAGCGCACTTTGTGAACGACGACTACATTTCAAGAACTTACGAATGTAAATATTCTCTGCCGTAACTAAATTGTGGATCCATGATTTCTCTGGGAGTCACTGTGTACATTTATGTGAAGTGTATGTATTGTTGCTAAATTTGATTGATAAATAGCGATGAAAATCAGGTGAAACCCTGTAATTCCCAAACGTGTTAAAGTTCAATTCAGAATTGTTTATTCTAGTTGGCTTATTAAAATTTCAAGGTGGGACACTTTAATGAATATTATTATGGCCAGCACATTCGTGTTTATGAGCTACTTAAACAACTCATTTTTTAAATGCAGATGCCTTAAATTTGTTGATTTTTAGTTAAATGATTTTCTCTTTTTTTCACTGATTTCAGGGTTTTCTCCATTAATAAAGCGGTTAAAAAAGGGTGCTGTGCCATGAGTGATTCCCTGGTAATCCACTCCATCCCCTACTGTACTTGAAAGGATAGAATGGGCTGCGAAAAGATTGTGTACCAAGCCACTATTGTTTGATCAAACCTGCAGTCTGATATGATTTCTGGAGACAACATTGATGTCGGCAGAGAAGTCACTATAGACCAGGACTCCAGTGAAAGTGCAGACAGCAGTACAGTAGTTTTGGAGATAGAAGGTACAAACTCGGTGTCGACCCAGACTGCATCTAACCCATTCTCTATTGAACACTTCATAGCTGATGATGCAGGTGTTCACTTCTACACTGGGCTGGAGTCATATGAAAGGTTTATGTTTGTACTAAGTACCTTGGGACCAGCAGCTTATGAACTGAATTATTATAATAAAAAAGTGCAGTGTTTAAGTGTCCCGGATCATTTTTTTCTTACACTGATTAAACTGAGACAATATAAGATCAAATTTGAACTGAGTAGGATGTTTTGTGTCTCAGAATCTACTGTCACAAATATTTTTGTAACTTTGGTAAACTTTATGAATGTCCAGTGGCGTGAAATAGATTTGTTTCCATCCAGAGACTTTTGAAGTATTTTGCACCATCTGATTTCAAACAAAAGTTCGGCTAACGCTCCATTAGGAGTGTTCCCAACTTTGATATCATTAATGATGATTGATTAATGATTAATGATTGATAATCCTAACCCTAACCCTAACCTAAATGACATTAAACCACAAACTAATATTTGACCATCACCATATATATATATATATATATATATATATATATATATATATTATAT